GCTTATGACCTAACAAAAAGGTAGACAAAAAGACAAAAGGCGCCCAGCACCAGACACCCAGCCTCAGGAGCCCAGCACCAGACGCCTAACACCAGGCGCCCAACACCAAGCACCTAACACCAGGCACCCAGCCTCAGGCGCCTAGCAGTAGGCGCCCAAACGAGGGGTCTCGCCCTCTCCATCTTGGGCGCCCCCATGATGTAGCCTAGATAAGGGGGTTTCACCCTCTCTAACTTTGGCGCCGCTATGATGTCATTAGATGAGTTCTCCACCTTGAGAGCCTCTCATGATGCCTAGATGATAGGTCTCGCCCCTGCTCACCAGGCATCCAGCACCTCAGGCGCTCAGCTCCTCAACGCCCTCCTCATTTCCATAGAATAAGCCTTTACCCTAGTAGCTATCTCAAGTGCTACTCGAAGGTCAGCCTCTAGATGGGTAGCCCTTTTGTGCGCTAGCCTCAACTGCTCAGCAGCATCCTCTCGTGTCTGCCATTTGAGCTCTACTTGCTCCGTNGTCAGCCTCTAGATGGGTAGCCCTCTTGTGCGCTAGCCTCAACTGCTCAGCAGCATCCTCTCGTGTCTGCCATTTGAGCTCTACTTGCTCCGTGACATCCTCTCGTGCCTGCCACTCAAACCTTACTACTCTGTGGCATCCTCTCGTGCCTATCACCCGAGCCCTACTTGCTCGGGCGGCATCCTCTCGTGTCTACCNATCAGCCTCTAGATGGGTAGCCCTTTTGTGCGCTAGCCTCAACTGCTCAGCAGCATCCTCTCGTGTCTGCCATTTGAGCTCTACTTGCTCCGTGACATCCTCTCGTGCCTGCCACTCAAACCTTACTACTCTGTGGCATCCTCTCGTGCCTATCACCCGAGCCCTACTTGCTCGGGCGGCATCCTCTCGTGTCTACCGCCCGAACCCTGCTGCTCCGTGGCATCTTTTCGAGCCTACCACCCAAGCCCTACTACTTCGTGGCATCTTCTCATTCCTGCTGCCCGAGCCCTACTTGTTCTTCAGCAGGCCCCGTGCTTTGCCTCTCTGATATCGTAGAGGTCACAGACCTCCAAAGCCTCTTGTTGACCAAAGTCAAATCAAAATAGGATAGCTATGTGGAGCTACAGTCCCCATAGAAGACCGCACAAGAGTCTCAACTCCTACACCGAAACTAGGGTTAGCTCTGGTACACAGAAGTCTCAGTCTGGGAAGAAGTGAGGGCACCACTGGATCCCACTTTCGGAAAGTAACTTATACATCGGGCCTTGACCGAGAAGTACTGGGGGCATCAAACCTCAGCCTCTTGGGAGGAAGAGAAGACACCACCTTAAAAGCACGGAGAGTCTCCATTATCGCTCTATCAATAGAGCGCCTATAATTAGAGACAATGTCAATTAATGACTAAGCACCAGAGAGGCGCCGCCCATAGCAAGACTCAAGGTGTCCCCAAAAACACAATAGTGCCCTAGACCTCCTAGCGTCGCCCATCTGCAGCACGTCGATGCAACCTCTACCTCCTCCTCTCCTACTTACACCATTCAAGGTCTTAATACCTAGTCAGCCAACTCATAAACGCCCGCCTGCCTGGCGCCCATTTGCTTGACGCCCACCTACTTGGCGCCCATCTGTCTGACGCCCACAGCAGCAATGCCCAATGTCCAAAAAGGCGACGCCTAGGGAGACCAAGAAAAAAAAAAAGGAAAGGGAGAGAGAGCAAAGAGGGCGGCGCCCAGGAAGACCAAGAAGAAAGGGAAAAAAAAAAGAGACGTATAAAGGAGCGACAACCAGGCCAAACCAAGAAAAAAAGGGGGAGGGGGGAGAAAGGCGGCGCACAACAGAAACAAAGAAAGAAGAAAAAAAAAAGGGAGAGAGAGCTTAATACAGCGGAGTCCTGAAGACGAGGAAATGCAAGAAAATTTCGACTCACCGATGAAGACAAAGTACATGCCCATAACCCCTTCCTCTCGAAAAAGTCAGAGGCTTGGGGCATAGGGGGCAAATGATGAGCCCGAATTTGACTGGGCCAAGCCCAATCCAAATAAACCGAGAAATCCCAAAGAAAAGTCCAACTAGACACGGAGTCATGAGGCCGTAAATCAACACGGAGTCATGAGGCCGTAAATCAACACGGAGTCATGAGGCCGTAAATCAACGAGTTATGANCCAAGCCCAATCCAAATAAACCGAGAAATCCCAAAGAAAAGTCCAACTAGACACGGAGTCATTAGGCCATAAATCAACACGAAGTCAGGAGACCGTAAATCAACACGAAGTCATGAGGCCGTAAATCAACACGGAGTCATGAGGCCGTAAATCAACGAGTTATGACGCCGTAAATCAACAAGGAGTCATAAGGGCCACTTGTAAATTAACACAGAGTCAAGTGGAGCCAAAGCACCAAAGGCCAATGCCCAAGGGGGTGTCGCCCAGGCCCTTCTAGTTCTTCCTCCTTTGTCCTCCTAACTCCAATGCAAGCCCAAGCCTACTCCAATTCAAGTTCAATGACAAGGCCATACCCAGTCCAGCTCAGGATCCTCCTCCCGACGGGATAGAAGCACAAGGAAAGAATATCGGGATACGCTCAGAGATCTAATCTTACCATAACTATACTTACCAAAATAGTAAAATTTTTCTCCCTCACGTCACCGCCTTAACTAAGCCTATATAATGTAAGCCCTCTCCACATTGAGGGTAAGATCACCTTATACATTCCTACATATATTGCTCTCTCTCTCTCTCTCTCTCTCTCTCTCTTCCTCTAAGCACTGTAATGCTCTTGGAGAATATTTTCTCCGCCGACTTCGTTCATTAATAAAAGATCCAGGCCGTCGCTGCCGTTCCCGAGAATGGAGTAGGTCATCCGGACAGAACCACTATAAATCTCTGTGTTGTTTCTTTATTTACTGTTTTGTCATCGATTGCTTTATTTACTGCTCGTTGATTGCCCCCGTTCACATTCTTAACTGTTGATCTTGCGCAATACCGATTTGTGCATTATCCGAAATGATTGACAATTTAAGGATTAGGAGAACAATGTTATTTTAAAAATATGAAAAGATTGCATAAGGATAACATAGGTTTCTATGATCACTATTGATTTCATATCAGGACCAGGTTGGACCCTTTTTTTTTTTTTTGGCAAAATCCAGTTTACCTCTTTGTAGTTTGAGTATTTTGCACATGATCCCCCTATGATTTAGAAATCAGCACATTACCCCNACCCTTTTTTTTTTTTTTTTGGCAAAATCCAGTTTACCTCTTTGTAGTTTGAGTATTTTGCACATGATCCCCCTATGATTTAGAAATCAGCACATTACCCCCTTATGCTTTTGGACTGATATGCACAATTAACACCGTAAACAAAAGTGATAAAATGACTTTAGTACCCTCAACTATTCATCATCTTCTTCCTCCCTCTCAACTGTAGCCTAATTTTCTGAAAAATCAAATTAACCACCCAATTTTACAAGCTTTTCTCTCTCTCCACAAAGTACCAAACTTCCTCAAACTAATGTCAATATCCTCCACTCTTAACCTAGTTTTAAACCCCACGGACTTGTTTCCTTAAATAGCCCTCATGACCCACGAATTAAACTCAAAGGTGATTACAAACTCATTTGAACAAGTTATGTACATACCAGATTTTTTCAACATTTGGGCCAACTTTGACGCTTAATTTCTCTCTCGTTTCTCAACCTTTTTGGGTGATTCGAATGCCTAAGTTTAACTTTTTTCTACCCTCTTTCTATCCATGTATTTAGTTTGTCCAAATCATGCATAAGATAAGTGAAAATCGAGCTCTAAAGTGACGGGTTCATTATTTTCAAAAATTGTCATGATTTTTAATTCAATTTTTCACCTACTAAACCTCATTCTTTCTCGATTCTAACTTCAAAATGGATTCCTTGACCCTAAAAATGGTGGATTAAGCCCCCTTTCACCTCCGAAACTTGAAATTTTGAATACCCAAAAATTTAAGTTTCAATCTTAAACAAGAATTTTGATTTTCTCTCACTATACACCTTGTTGCCTCTCTCTCACTCTTTCTCTCTGACTCAGCAATGTCACTGCCCCCTCTCTCTCTTCTTCATCATCTCTCTCTATCAGCAACCCCCTCTCCCCTCTCTCTTTCTCTAAGTAACAACCTCATTGCCCTTTTCTCTTGCCACCCTTCTGCCACTATTGGCAACCCACCGTCAAACAGCCCTCTCACGTATATCTCTACCCCATCCCCTCCCTTCCTCCCTTGCCCTCTCTTCTCTACTCAAACCCCCTCTTCCTAGGCTCTCCTCGTCGCGACCAACGACGGCATCAGGGCCACACCCCTTCCTGCACATAAAGACAATCCCACCATGATTATTGAACCTCTGGTCATTAGTTATTCATATGGTTTGAGTGGTAAAATGAATTTCACTTGAGCCATGCATAGTTAAGAATCATCCACTTAATTTTAATTTTTAAAATTTTGATAAGGAGACAGTGCTTGGAGTGAATTGTTTGAGAAAAAAATATGATAGTCAACTGTTCAGGAAAATGAAGATTAAATAAAGATATTATTGTACTTTTATTGTGTCTATTTTTGGAGGAAAAAATTTTGTTATGTCAAATCTCCTTTTAGGCGCGTGTGTGTCACAGATGGTTTAATCTAACAGAAAAATTAATGGTAGCATTTTTGTCCAAAAATACAAGAGAATAATGTGCTAATTTTCAAATTATAGGGGTCATTTGCAAAACACCCAAATCACAAGGATAAACTGAATTTTGC